CTTGACCAACAATGAATTTAAAATAGTTAAGCTATAAAATAACATCCTCTCAAATGTTTCCTGATGCAATACAATCTGAAATGTAGTCACTGGTAAAGTTTATAAGTCTGTGAGTTATGTATGCAAAATAAGACAAAGGCAAATAAATGGATGCTACCGTTATGGGTAGACAGATATATTTTATTCTGCACTGACCAAGTTAATAGAACTCATTGTGTCTGTGGAACACATATCTGGAATCACTGTGCTTTACTAAAGAGCAAGCCATCGACTTAGACTACGATTCATCCAGATTACACCCATATTATCTAGGCTGTTCCTGAATACTTCATTTAAATTTGATCCTCAAAGTAGTGAGATATTAGGCAAGATATTTGTCCTGTATAGTAGACCTAAAAGAAGAATTTAAAATTGCCTCTACAATGGCTGACTTGTATTCACTGGAGGAGTATCTGATCATGACTACTGAACTGTAAATTGATAGAAAACTAGTTTTCTCTGGAGTTGCATACAAATAATGAAGGCTTAGAGAATCTTGGTGAATTAATTCCCAGTGGTTTGGAGATAAATAAATAATATGTAGGTGTAACCATTACCAGTAGGCTGTTTCTGTGTTCCTATTTTGATGATTTTTACTTTGAAGATACGAAGATCTAAATTGTATCTTTAGCAGAAAAATGTTAGTAAAAACTTAAATTACATCACCCAGTTGTAAAATAAAATTCTAAAAGCTCATTTCAGAAAGTCTCATATCAATTATGTTCAGTATATTAGATTTGAGATTCTAGAAGTATACTGTGTTTCTTACGTTTACAGTGAAATCAGGAAAGGGGGAGGGTAGTGTTTCTAGCCTTGAAACTTACATATGTTGCTGTGGGCTTTTTATCATTTAAAAAAAAAATTTTCAGTGTATTCAACTGTAAAATAGCCTTTCTAGTTACCAGAGATGTTTTTAATTTTTAAAATGAAATGTAGTCTTTTCTCCTTTGGAAGTTCTTTATATAAAAATTCAGCAAAGTTTTACATATAAAATTTTATGATTTGATAAAATGTATCTAGAATTTACCATCTTCTAAAGACTTTTCATCTGCCCTTGGCATTGGGTCATTGAATCTTACCTAGTTTATCTGACCCAATTTTTTTGGTCTAATATATTTCATTAATAACTACTAGATTATTTTACCAGAAGAAAATCTGGTAGCATATCTGTATCTACCTAGAGCACTGTCTTATATGAGAAGGCAGCTGATTAAGAGAAATTAGTTCTCAATGAATTTTGTATTACTAAGTAAAACCACAGTATTTGACCAGATTTGTAAACACTATTGATTCTGATGTGAAGGAGGGAAAAGCAGTCCCCAGTCTTAGTGCAGAGACTCTACATGATAGTAAAACAGCATATTCAGCTTTAATTCCTTTTTCATTGCTAATGAGAATTGAGTTTATGGTTCTACTCAAATGTAGAAAAATAAGTATTATGGGTTTCTGCTCATAAAAATACTCCGTGGATACCTACAAACACACCAATACAAAAAGGCAATAGCCATTTAAGAATATTTATTAAGGAAGCCTTGATACTCCCCCAGTTGTATTTTTTTCCTATATTTCCCTTTCTGTAGGTATTGAATGAACACTATAACCTGCATAAATTTGGATCCTACCAATTCAGATTTACAGTTGTCTGCAAGCTTCCTTTTCTTTTTTCATTGTAAAGGTATATATTAATGTGACTATTATTAATATTAATAATAGTCCCACTTGAGACCCTCAAATATACATACACACACCAGGAGATGTGTATCACAGCTATTTTTATCTTTTTAAGGAGGCATTCTACATGAAAACAAATGAGTTGGTAGTACAATTAATAATATAAATTTTTTAAAATTATATATATATATATATATATTTATTTATTTATTTTTTGAGTTGGAGTCACACTCTGTCGCCCAGACTCGAGTGCAGTGGCCACTCCCGGCCACCGCAGCCTCGACCTGCTGGGCTCCGGCGATCCTTCCGCCTCAGCCTTCCAAGTAGCTGGAACTACAGGCGCGTGCTACCACGCCCGGCTGATTTTTGATTTATTGTAGAGATGAGGTCTTGCCAGGTTGCCCAGGTGGGTCTCGAACCCGCGGGCTCAGGCAGTCCACTCACCTCAGCCTCCCAAAGCACAGGATTACAGGCTGAGCCACCAAGCCTGCCTCTTTTATTATATTTAAACTTAATTTTTTAAAATATGTAATTTTGAATGATCATCCCCAACTATAGTTATTAATTTTTGCCATAAAAACATCTTGAATAATATTAACGTTTCTGCTTTTTTGTATGTTTTTAAAGTCCAAATATTGGAGGTACAAAGAAATACATAGTATTGTTAGGATAGTTTATCCTTTTTTCAGGGTTCTTCTAGAGTACTAGAATTAATTTCCTGAAACAGGTTAAGATAACAAACCTAATACATTACTTAGCATGTACTAAATTACATTACTTAATTACTTACAAATAATCAAATTTTAACCTCTAATAGCTTAATTCTAAAATCAGTATCTGGTGTATTTGTGCATTAAATTGCTTTGTGCCTTTCACAGCTGGCAAACCCAGAAAGACACATTATGGCTACAGCTTATTTTCTGTTTTCTCCTCTTGAACTACTCCCAAAAAGGAGAAGGATGCTCATTTTGTAAGATCCTAATTTCTTTCAAGTAACCATTGTAGTGCCTTACACTTTTACCATTACTTCTTAAACTTACGTTCACATGATCACCCGGGGATCTAGCGAAAATGCAGCTTCTGATTTAGGTCTTGAGAGGTCTGAGAGTCTAAATAGTTAAGATTCTCCCAGGCGGTGGTGGTAATGGTTTGTAGACCACCCTGTGGACAGCCAGACCTCAGATAACATTAGCTAAAACCTTAAACTACTCAGTGAGTATTGACAACATTCAAGTCTTCTTTTTTAAATACTCAAAGTATTTCTTCAAAACCTTGCAAAATGTAGCCCTCTTGTATAAATTAGAGTGGGGAAAAATTGCACTTTAATTTTAAAACAGAAGTATCATTTTTACAATTAATACACGGGATCTTACAAGTGTTAAAAATGATTTTATTATATGTAAATATATAATGTACAAGACATACATAATATAGCAAAATTTACAAAACCCATGAAAAATATTTAATTTCAGTATAAAGAGAACAGACTGAGGTAAATGAAGACAGATTTAGGACATGTATGAAAAGATAGATTGTCAAATCAGTATTTTGGGGAAGGTCAAAGAATGCTGAAAAGCTTGACCTGTTACTGTATTCATGGCTTCAGATGTCATGCAGGTAAATACTACACAATAAGAACATACAATGTAGACGGCACAGAAGGACCTGGCCCAATTTGCTCAAGGAAATGGGAGAATAAAAAAGAATTTTTTAAAATGTAGCCGTCAGGGATTCTTGTGACTAGATTGTTTTACTGACAGTTCAAATCTTTCATCAACATCCCTTTAGTCCTTGAAACTTTCCTCTGAGGTAGAGAGGTGGGCCAGACTACTGCTGCCAAGCAAGACGGGGAATGGAGAGGCCAAGTCCGCTCTTGGCAGCTCAAAAGAACCATGGACTTCTCGAGTGCCTTGTCGCAACTGCTCCGCCAGCTCTTGCTGAACAGAGACCATCTGTTCCTCATGTCATCTGAAGATTCTAACGTGCCTACATTCTTGGAACCAGTAAAATAGGAAAATTCTTTTGAACAACTAAAACAGGCACAATCACAGCGCAAACTTAGCATAGTCTGAGCTGTATTATACAGTTTCATACAAAATGTAAGAGAAATCACAAAGTAGTAAAAAATGTCTTAAAAACTTGTGTCAAATTCGAATGTTCCAAACGTTTAGTGACTTCATCCTAAGGTACACTGGCAAAGAACTGTGACTGCTGCTATGAGGAAGACTTTCCTTGATGCAGGAAAACATTAGGAGAATGACCTGTTTTTAAACTAAATGTGTCTCCGCTTGACGAATGTCGTGAGGGAGCTTTTCCGCCCAAGAGTGATGTTTCTGCGTCTTTTATTTCCATTGCCCTTTTGTATAGTTCGGCAGCTTTTTCGAAATCCCCTTCTTCATAGCTTTGAGAGGGGAAGGAAAAAAAACTCTTAAAATGAGAATATAACCTCTTACCCATTTTAAATTATAGAGTACGGAAAGACATGTTATAAATAATGGCTCATTTCCCCTTTTTTTTTCCAGTGCATTTGCTCAAAGCAGACCAGTAAAACAGAAGACCCAAACTCCTTTCCTTTCTGCACTGTGAAACATTTCAGCGTCTCTTACGGATGCCATCAAAATCATGTTTCAGTGGATGCGGTGAAATCGCTAAGTTAGGTATTCGCTGTATTCTGCAGTAAACAGATGAGAAGCAAAAGTCCACATGTCCTTACTGGTAAATTAGCTCTGAGGACAGCCAAATTGCTCATCCTGCCTTCAGAACCAGCAAGCTGAAATGCAAACCCCTTCACTGTTCGCGTGACACACCCCTCCACAACACATCACGCAGCTCTCACCTCACTCCTGGGTGTGCTTCAGCCTCTTGTGAAGTTCGCTCAGCAAAAACGCCCTCCCCGCTCCAAGGAAAAACACCAGCAATGCATATTTTGTGCTGTTCTAAGATGAGCCAAAGCTATTCTAAAGAGAGCTGGGCTCTATGAGGAAAATGAAAAGAATTCTTACCTGAGCACAGCTAAGTTTTTTAATGTTTCTCCAACTCGAGGATGCATCTGACCCAGGCTGTCTTCGTAGATCTTTAATGCCCTTTCATATAACGGCAAGGCTTCAGCGTGTTTTCTCTTATTCAAAAGAGTGATAATATTTGCTTTAAAACACTGGGTTCCTGAAATTAATGTATTCTAGACTAAGCTAACCTGCTTTGGTTAGTACTTTAAAAATGTTAATGTCCTTCTAAAAGATGTGCATGAACAAGTTAATTTATGCATAATCATCACAGAAGCAGTATACCAGAAAGTCAGACACCTATGTTTTAGACTTGGCTTGATAATCATTTGACCTTAATCCAACAGTACACGTGTAAGCCTGTTCCTTTATTGACCAATGACCAATGAGCACCATACCTGTTTTTCACCCATCACAGGCAAATGCCACAAGCTCAAAGAAATATTACAGAGAGAGATGTAGGGTAGCTCCAGGAAGTTTAAATGAAGCCTGTGCTCTGAACTCAGCAATGTTTTACACTAAGAGGAAGGGACCCTGTTACAAATCTAACTTCCATTATTCCTCGGGTGTTAAAGGAAGCATTAAAAATAATCTTAGCCCTTTGTACTCGGATGTCCCCGCTGAGGGGACACTGTAAATCTAGCAAACCACTCGGCCCCTCTCAGGAGACATACAGAGACAGTTGTGATTACACAGGACAAACTTATGCAAGCACACATTTTTCAAAAAGTATGTTTCCATGAAGTTTTCCATTCAAATTGCACTAAAAAGTAAACAAAGAGATGGAATGTATATACTGAGATATACATTTTAAAAAAATCAGCTTGGCATTACGTAGAAAGAATGTGTGAAATGCTTTCATGGTGGTACCAAAAAGTTACCAAAGTAGCAGGATACCACAGGTTTACTGACAGATACTACACAAGTATTGTCCTAGCAGAAGAGCTACTAAAGATGAAATGTCATCTTGCTGGTACAGCGCCAACCTAAAGGGAATACCAGCACAAATAAAAAAGCCAAAGTTTTTAACAAAAAAATAGTAGTGTACAGGAAAAATAATCTTGCGCTTCTTGCATGCAAGGACAAAAGACTCGTTAAAATTCCCAGCACTTAAAATCACGAAGGAATGAAACCTACCACAAGGACATTACATGGTGGAAATACTACGTTAACAAAAGACTGAAATGATCCTAAATTATATTGCAAATGTGAGCAGTGTGGGTCGTGCAGATCAGTATGCTTCTATATACTGCATTTTGCAAAATCTTTAAAATGGTGGAGGAAATTATTCTGGGGACTAGAAATATGCATTAACTCCTATATACTGTACCAAGCCTCAAAAAGAAAAACTGTAAAATGTATGTCCCATTTGAAATTTGTCAAGCTTCTGATCAGTTGAGAAGCGGTTTTCAGGAATCATGAGTGTCCTTCCACATCGTCTTCAAACAAAAAACGGGCCAATGAATTACATATTATTAATGTGGAAGGAAGAAAATGAGACTGCACTGTCGGCTCGAACACAAATACCAGGTAGAAGATGTCAAAAAAACACTATTGCACAACATGTAACAGTGAGCCTGCAATGCATATCAGTGACTGTTTTGACCTGTTACCACTTGCTAGAAAAATACAAGACATGACATTTTCATATTTTTGTCACAAATTACTCAATGTCCAAAATACTATTATAAGCCAAATATCACTAAAATAAAATAACTGGTTCCCATGCTATACTATTTAATAGGCAGTGCTTGGCTTTTCACTGCTTCGTAAGTGCAAGTGAGTTGCTAGTAGGTGACCCGCAAGATGTCTCCAAGTGCAAAGGGTTAAATTTTCTTTAATTATATTTACTATGCCATATCTGTCTCATGATTTCTATATTTCACAACTTAAAAATCATTCATTTATAACGTTAAAACGTGAGAACTTACCATTTGGCTATGAAGAACAGCCAAGTTTACCAAAGCAGTAGCTACACTAGGGTGTTTTGGGCCGAAGGATTTCTGTCGAATTTCAACAGCCAATTCATACAAAGGTACAGCTTTATCAAGTTTCCCCTAAAAAACGAAAGTGGAATATAACAAAAATACTAAGGCAATAAGTACTATCTAGTCAGAGTTTTTTCCATAAATAAAATTTCATATTAGAGAGTAATTTTTAGGGGAAAAAAATCTCAGAAGCATTTCTCCCAGTGCAACAATTACGCTTACAATGGAAAATCTAGTAGAGCACATAAGTAAAGCTATGCTGAACATAACATTTTCCTTGGTCATTCAGAAAGCCTTTTAGGATCACCCATTATTACTTACTGCTTCTAGTGTACTGTAAAAACACGCCACTTAAAGTAGATTTGCTACCACACGTGATATAGAGATTGCATCAAAATAAAAAACATTTCCAGCGAGATTTTCCTTCCAGATTTTTCTTAACTGTTCCATTTTACTTGAAAGTAGGGCAGTGATAGCTGGGTGTGGTGGCTCACGCCTGTAATCCCAGCACTTTGGGAGGTGGAGTCAGGAGGATTACCTGAGCCCAGGGGTTCAAGACCAGCCTAGGCAACTTGGCGAGACCTCATTACTACACCAGATCAAAAAATTAGCTGGGTGTGGTGACCTGTGGTTCCAGCTACTTGGAAGGCTGAGGCAGAAGAATGGCCTGAGTCCAGCAGGTCTAGGCTGTGGTGGCCAAGAGTGTGCCACTGCACTCCAACTCAAAAAAATTAAAAAATAAAAATAATAACAAATAAAATAAAGTAGGGCATATCCTTTTTATTAAACCATCAACTTCAGTGTCAGGAGGACCACTAAGGGTCCCACAAAGTCCAAAGACAGTGCACAAAGCTCTGTAACTACTCTAAATGAAAGCAGTCTCTCTGGCTGCTTGTTGCTGTTGTTGTCCAAACATCACACTGGCTAGAACCCTATGGCAGAGACTGGTTACATTCAAACAGAAGCAAAGTGGCGAGGCAGAGTAGCTCTTGCCCGTAATCCCAGCACTTGAGAGGCCAAGGCAGGAGACCAGCCTGGGCAACACAGTGAGACCCTGCTTCTACAAAATAAATAAATAAATAAAAGAATACGCTGGGCATGGTGGCCCGTGCCTGCAGTCCCAGTTACTTGGGGGGCTGAGGTGGATAATCACCTGAGCCCAGGAGGTGAAGGCTGCGGTGAGCCATGATCACACCACTGCCCTTCAGCCTGGGTGACAGAGTGAGACTGTGACTCAAACAAACAAACAAAAAACATGCAAGTAAAGCCAAGATAGGGTGAAATAAAAATGTTCACTGAATCAACCACAAGACTTCTCCTGTAGCCTTGATAATTGGGTGATTTAATATGTTTATAGTTGTTTTATACAAACTTAATGCTGGTAGAATTTCAGAATTTCTGAAATGTAAAAGAAGAACAATGTGAATCAGAATGCTGATGAATACATTTGTATTTGGAATGTATTGTAACAAAACCAAACCAGTTATCTTAATTAATTCTGAAATCGTATTTTTATCATTTTAAGACTCATACAAAAATAATCTATCCATCAGAAAGACACATTATTTTGCCGATAGTAATTACAGCTTAACTGATGTATTATAAAACGTATAAGAATGCCAAGGACTACTTACCGTTTTCTTATATAAGATCGCAAGATGCTTCACCGTGTATGCCAGCGAGGGGTGGTCCGGAGCCAGTGCACGTCTCCGAATGTCTAAGGCTCTTTCATACAGCTCTTCCGCCTTGTCATACTGTTTCTTTTCATGGCACAGCGCTGCCAGGTTATTCAAAGACTGGGCGCAGTCGGGGTGATCTGGGCCTAGAACTCGCTCCCTCATTTCTAAGGACCGCTTCAGAACCTGGCCAGCCGTTCTGTAAACACGACCCCAAAACAGTGTCAGCGATGTCTTCCCTAGAGGTCAGAACCTCATGCTCTCGTTAAGAGGAGGACTGAACCATTTTATCCTGAGGCTCCGATCAAAACGGAGCGTTGGCTCAAAACCCTCACCCTCCCTCCCCTTCCTGCTCATTTCCGGAGAGGTGGAGGGCCTGAAGTGTGTGGACAACTGCCTCGACTCTCCGCTTCACTTTAAAAATAAAGGCTTGTCAGTATCTTCCAAAACAAGCTTCTCATACTTTTAACCTTATTAGACTAACCTTCAAGTCAAACAAAAGATTTTGATCTTCACTGTTCCTCCCTTTGGAGTCAGTCCTAAACAATTTTTAATAAACAAACACAGCACAACTTTTCACAGGTGGCTCTACATACAGATGGGCTATATTTGTCCCATTTTCTGACATCCTAAGTTTCAAATTTGTTGTATTTTTCTCACATCCAAAGAAGTCTAAAGACTCTTCTTTTTCAGAAAGTACTGACATAAATGCCATTTTGAGTCTTTTTTGTCTTCTTTTTTTTTGAAACAGAGTATCACTCTGCTGCCCAGGCTGGAGTGCATGCAGTGTGGTGGTAGGATCATAGCTCACTGTTATCTTGAACTCCTGGACTCAAGAGATCCTCCTGTCTCAGCCAAGTAGCTAGAACTACAGATGCTTGCCACCACACCCAGTTATTATTTTTATTTTTAGAAATGGGGGCCTCTCTCTGTTGCTCAGGCTGGTTTTGAACTCTTGGCCCCAAGTGACCCTCCCACTTTGGGCTTCCAAAGTGCTGGTATTACAGGCTTGGGCCACCACGCCCAGCCATTTTGAATCTTTCAGTTCAGGTAAACTGACAAATATAACTTGCAACCATCTACATTTTGCAAATTCTCTATTAGTCCCAAGTTTTTTCTCCTGTGAGGACTCAAGTACAGTATCTACACAAAATCACTTTTCATAAGTATACAAAACACACTAAGGGAGCTATAAAACTACTTTTTAATTAAGAAACAATGTGAAAAGAAATAGTAGAGAAAACATCATGGCCTTTAAGTGTGGGTATGTTCATTGTGTAAGATCACATGAAATTCGGCATGTTTTTAAGCAACTTTGTCTAGCTTTAGAATTGATATAAAGCAACTTTGCCCTGAAGAAACAAAATGAGTGTTTATTTTCACTATCGACACCATGGTACTCACTCCAGGTTATTCTGAAGATAGTAGAGAACGCCCAGCTCATTGAGGGTCCGAGCATTATCAGGTGTGTCTTTTCCTAATGTCAGTTCTTCTAACTGCAGGGCCCGGCGGCGTAAAAGGGCAAATCCATACTGGAGCAAACACAAAAAATTGAAAATAATCAAGAGGGTGCGATTCTTGATTCTATAAAATATCTACCAGGTTTCCAAAAGATTCTTTCTCCTTTTTTTCCCTTTTACTCTGTATCACAATTATGTTAAGTGTTGCATTGACTTAGCCTAACCGCCATTAAGAATATACAGGTCTCAACATAGCAATACTTTCTAAGATTCATAAGAATTCTTTTGTGAAAATGATTACGAGGTATTTTAGAAAGTGGACTACATTACAAAGTGCTTCAAAAGATATAAGACAATTAACTTGCAGCTATTCAACAACCCAATGCTAAACACTTGAACGTCAGATACAAAATGCACATACATTTAAGTTAAAACAAAGAAATGTGCTCCACTTAGATTTCATCAGTAACTCAGAAAAACGAGATATTTTTTGGAAGGGGCTCAAGGAGAATTTCTTCACATGTGAATCTAGCACGAGCTATTAACTAAATAAGTTTCTTTCATTCCCATTTCCCACCCTTTAAAGAAAAGACTCAAAATAGCTTTACATTCCATCTTCCAAAGCCTAACCTTCAGATAAACTTTATAGTTTAGTTTCACTTTCTAAAAGTCCACTAAATTGCACTTCTTAGTAATACTAATATTTAAACACATAAATGAAAAGAAAATGCTAATCAGAACTTTCCTAGAAGTCACTTAAAGCTCTCAAACATGTGAGGTTTATGTACTTATGATATTCGGAGATGACCTCTTCTTCTTATGTTCAAAACACAACATAAAATAATTATTTCATTACCAAGTGGCCTTTTCTCCTTGTAGCTTTCTGACAAATTTTAAAATATTTTTTCCTGAAATGTTCAGCTTGTTCATACCTTCAAAAAAAAGTACAGTAAGTGAAACAAAAGAAACATATATGAGTCCTTCAGTGTAATGAAAGCACATACTGTGCTTTATATAGTGTAAAACCTTTTTTGGCTATTAAATACAGTGCTACTCTAGAAGTGACAGTCATACAGAATTTAAAATCCCTAACAAAAACCTTCATAAAACAACGTAAGTCTAGTTCTCTATGTAGCTGACATTTAACTGTTTTAAACTAGTCTAACTCATTTTGAATCTCTCCAGGGCAATCTAGCTAAAAGAAACTTCAAATTTTAGTTTTACTACTTTTTTCTGCAGTCTAATTTCTACTCAAATACAAATGTGAAATTAACACAAGACTGGTGGGATACAATGCTTCCAGAAGTTAAAAGAAAAAGTCCCAGTATGCACCACATATGAAGATACACATACATATCGTCAAAATAGCTTCTTATCAACGGACATCATTCTGTGGGTCCCTAACATATATGAGAGACATTTTCTTAGAGCAGGGACTGGCAAGCTTTTTCTGTAAAGGGCCAGGTGGCTAGTATTTCAGGCCCCACACACCATGCACTTTCCGTCACAAGAACTCAGCCACCGAAGCACAGAAGCGACCACAGATGATATGCACATGAAAAAGGCCTGGCTGTCCTCCAGGGAAACCTCACTCACAAAGCTGGAGTTGGGGTGTGGGAAGTGGCTGGCGGGCCCCGTGCAGGGGGAGCAGCTCTAACCCGGAACTCCCCAACGCCCCAGATCAGGAACTTTCTGAGCTCCAGCAGGATGCTGTAAGTGGAGAATTCCCTATCTGACCTCATGTGATGGGGTGCAGTCAGAACTTTGCTTTATGCACAAACCTACTAAAAACATCATGTAACATTTCCTTCAGGCTATGTGTACAAGGTGTATGTAAAACATAAGCTAGTTTCGTGTTTAGACCCGGGTCCTGTCCCCAAGATATCTCACTGTAGTTGTGCAATATTCCAAAACCTGAAAAAACCCCAAATCTAAAGCATTTCTGATCCCAAGCATTTTGGATAAGGGATATATATATTCAACTTACGTTAGCAATGCACTTCATATTACAAAGTTAGTAAATGAGCCAGGATTCAAACCTAAGACTACAACTCCAAAGTCTGTGCTCTATCCTCCATGCATCTTCAGATAGAGATGAATTTTGTAGTTCTGATTTTCTCTGTTTACCCATAAATAACCAGACCAAAAAATGCTGTATGAACATGATGCACAGAATAAGGAACTGTATCCAGTCACAAAACAGAGCCTACATCCTAAGTACATTTTTAAAAATTCCAACTCGCCTTCGTAAAATCAGAGTATTACTGATCTTAATCTTACTTATTTTGTTTCTGGTACAAAGTTGCAAGTGCTTCAAGTTCACGAGCAGTATGTGGATGTTCTGCACCATAAGCATTCTCTGAGATTTCCAATGCCTGCTTATACAGTTGTTCTGCGTTGTCAAACTTCTTCCACTGCACATACACACTTGCGAGTTGGTGGAGGGACTGAGCTACTCTTGGGTGATCTGGATCTAAAGCTGTTTCCCGAATTTCTAGGGACCTCTGCAAAGGCACCACAGCCTGGAAAAAAAGGGTGGAAGGCCAACTGGAGTGGGTGAAATGCTGGAAGATCTGTCATCTGATCAAACATTAAAGAGCATAGCACAAGGAATGAGACTACTTGAGCTGCTAGGAAGAAGAAAAGAATCAACGCAAAGCCCAACCTGCCTCTGGCTTCCAGCTGAGGTGCGGAGCTCACCTGACTGAGAAGGCCTAGATCCTTCAGAAATCGCCCCAGGGTTTCGTAGAGGTCAGCTAAGCAGATCAGGCTCTCCTCCCCTTCACAATTCTTCTCATACTGCTTCAATGAATCAAAATATTCTGCTGCCATGGCACTTTTGTCTTTGCCAACAAACTGCCAGTAACTCAGCAACTCAGCAAAGTGTCCTCTGTTTCAACAAACAACAGCAACTTAATGAAAAACAAACCTTAAAATCCACTCCAGAATGAAAACGGCAGAATTCGTATCAAGTTACTGGCAGTGTTATTAGTAGCCCAGTGTAGTGCAGAGACGCAAGACTGCTGTCTGCATTCCACCCCTTCCTAGCTGTGAGCGTGGGGCTCGTCGTCCTCAACTGCACAGACAGAGACGATAGCACCACCCGCCTCAGCTGTCACTGTAAGGAGATTACGGTGCACAGGAAGTACTCCAGAGTGTTGACTGTTATTATGAATATCAGCATGGCTGCTCACCAATGGAAATTTATCTGAAACCTTTTATACATTTCACGATGTGCAGTCAGTCGCTGAATTTACCCCCAAAATTATTTTAAATGATGGAAATTCAAAGTGAAGCAACTAAGAAAACGCAAGCAAACTGTCAGAGAGTATCCACTTTGCATTTTCATCAAAGGATTAAACAGTAAAAGCAAGCTTATTCATCTGCAGATTATTGTGAGTAGGATGGAAGACTGGTAAACTAAAGACCAAATCTGATTTCAAAGGAATTATGAGACACTGAATGGAGATCAGAAATAATTTAAGAGATGCAACAAAGAAATTTGAGAGCAAACTCAAATCACTCAGGAGCAAAACAAATCATGTAGCTATTTTATGAGAGATGTCTAAATAACTAAGAAAGGCAGAAAAGCCCCCTCATGAGGCTTAGTAGGTCTGAAAAAGGTAATTCAATCAAATATACCAAAAGAGAGGAACAGAATACATTTATAACTCAGGGCAACCCTTTCTTTAAATTCAACACCAGGCAGGTTCTATCTGGACCTTACCATCTGACTTGAAGGTTACCTGAAGGCCCTCCTGAAGCAGACATTAAACACCACCAATCTCGGTGGTTTATATTTAGACCTGCTCAAAAGCAAGAATAAGATACGGAGTTGCCCCCAAACTATTCCAGCTCTGATTTTTACAAAGCAGCAATAGCACGTGTTTTTCTCTTGGAAAAAGTCAAGCTGACAGCGATTTTCAAACGGTCTTAACTGTCTCCCACACTACATTTCAGGCACCACTGAAACTGGACTAACTTTTAAATTTAAAACACCGCTTTTCATCATCAGGCCGAACAGCTGTTTACATATGTGCTTCTGGGGACAGATGCTCCACAACATGCTTCGTACCTTTTATAGAGGTTGTGAGACACGAAGAGGTTAAGAAGGCAGCTGTGCAGCTTCTGCGCACTTCCCTGCTGCCGAAGGAGCCAAGGGAGCTCATCCGCGCTTCTCCAGCCCACTCCGCGCAGCCCAGGAAATGAGCGGCGATAGCGCCCAGTTGTGTCTTCTGACGAGGAGACTGCCTCAAAAAGGCTTCAGACCAGCGGTGATGGGAAAACACAGTTAGCACGCTCAGACTCTGTAAGTATAATCTAATGCTAAGAAGGCTGGGTCAAAATCAGAAACTTTGCCACTCTAAGAAAATAAGTTCAAATGATACTCAGTGATGTCAACCCAACTCTGAAAACATCTTCTAAAACTGAACTATCTTTTAAAAACCCTCCATGGACCCAAATATACACAGGTATACATATTTTAAACCATTTAATTGAAATACAACAAAAACAATAAAATGATCCTGCACTGATTTTAAGTTTTAACCTTTAGCACACTATTAAAAGAGTCAGAAGATAATCTTTTGCCCTTCTGGCATTAACAGACTAGGGAGCGGAGTCATTAGACTGTATAATCATTACATGTTTACAGTTCCCAAGCTAAGAAAGAGAAGTAGGTACACAAAAATAGAGCATGCTGCAAAAGTTCCAGAAGAACAGTAAGACGTGTTCTAATACCTCAGCTGCACGGTGAAGTAGTCGATCAGCTTTTGCCTGTGCAAAGACACAACAGTGGGACCCTCCATGTACTCTAGTCTTACTGCTTCCCAAGCCTACAGAGAAAAAGAAAAAATACTGCATTTTGTTTTGCATCAGCCAGTGTGTATGTAACAACGAATCTGTATCAGGAGTTTCCAACTATTTCAATTTTGTAGCAGTATAACAGACGTGGCATTAGAATATTTTAAAATTCAGGATAAGCTTATATTAGAATAAAAATTCCTGTCATAATATTTAAGAATGCAAAACAAGACTTAATTCAGGCCTTCAGTTACATTAAAAATTTTAGAAACATGGAGCAAAAAGTTACTAAAAAAACAAATTATAACAAATTTTATTCAGACGACACACAATAAAATAGAAAGATAAGGCTGAGAAGTTGCAAACACTTTTTATGTATAACCACAAGACAGCATATGCAAATGAAAGATTTCATTTGCATTTGTACATATATAAATCTACCATGGCATTTCAGATGATAAGAATTTTTTTTTTTTTTAAGTAGGAGTCTCACTGTGTCGCCCAAGCTGGAGTGCAGGGGCACACTCATGGCCACCGCAGGCTCAACCTGCTGGCTTCAGGTGATCCTTCCACCTCAGCCTTCCAGGCAGCTGGAACCACAGGCACGTGCTACTGCTCCTGGCTAATGTTTTGATTTATTGTAGAGACCAGGTCTTGCCAGGTTGCCCAGACTGGCCTCAAATCCCTGGACTCAGGCAATCCTCTTACCTCTGCCTCCAAAAAGGCTGGGATTATACGTGTGAGCCGCTGCATCTGGCCTCATATGATAAGAATTACATCAGCCAATAGTTTCTACAGATTTGCTACTATGTGCTGAACACCATGTCTAGCACCTCACGAGCACCAAAGCCCACCTCAGTTAATTTTCTTCACACCCCTGTGGTAAGCTGGAAAAGCCTGCTCCCGTGGCTAGACAGTTATCAAACTATAAAAACCTGGGTTATGAAAAGAGGCTGACTGACTGAGTCCAAGATTTTAGAATGCATACAGTCATGCTCCCCATAATGACGTTTCAGTCAACAACAGACCACAGATATGCTGGTGGTCCCATAAGTTTATAATACCATATATTTTTTGAAACGCGTGTTGTGTTTATTTCCAACTCTTGCTTTCTTGAAGTCACTACAGCTTTCCCTGAGGCAACCCAATATACGGTATCAAGTATTGGTATTACTGTTTCTTCATCTGTTTTATAATAAAGCTGTATTTGTTCTATAGTTCAACCATACTTTTTAAGATTTCTCTAAGTACAAGGCAACTAACAAAATAATGTGTGTATTTTTTCAAAGTCTCAATCTGTTGTCCAGGGTGGAGTGTAGTGCCACAATCATGGCTCACCACAGCCTCAAACTCCTGGGCTCAAGCAACCCTCCCACCTCTGCCTCTTGAAGCTAGGACTATAAGCATGCACCACCACACCTGGCTAATTTTTTGTTATTTTGTAGAGACGCGGTCTTTTTGCAGAGACGCGGTCTCGCATGTTGCCTAGGCTGGTCTCAAATTCATGGGCTCAAGCAATCCTCCTGTCTCACCCTTCCAAAGTGCTGGGATTACAGGTGTAAACTACCATGCCCAGGCTATAATGCCTTATTTTTACCATGCTTTTCTATGTTTAGTTATGTTTGGATACACAAAGACCACTATGTTACAAATGCCTTCAGCATTCAATACAGTGACATGCTATACAGGTTTGCAGCCTAGGAGCAAGAGGCTGTAGCATAAGGCCTAGGTAAGTGGCAGGCTACACTGTCTAGGTGTGTGTACGTACATGCAGTGAAGTTGGCACAATGACAAAATCACCTAACAATGCACTTCTCAGAGTATAGTCAAGTTCTTCAGCAACACATGACTCCACAGTGATGCCAGCAATTCAGTGAACATAAAATTGAAAAAAAAAAATTCTTCCAGAAAGAAACTACCCTTTTGGTATCTTATGACCGGCTTTTTTGTTATTTTTTAAAAGTTTATTGTGGTAGGAACACTTAGCATGAGATCCACCCCCTTAATACATTTTAAGTGACAATATAGTATTATTAACTATAGTGTCAAGTTGCACAGCAAACCTTTACAATTTATTCACCTTTCAGAAACCACGGTTTAAAGTAATAGTCACCTCATAAAGGTACCACATAAGCATAATATTAGCTAAAGTTTACATTTAACCTAAAATCATTGCAGAAAGAAATTATATTGCCAAATGTCAGATTTTGATTTTGTCTTGTAACAGAAACATTCAAAATAATATGGTATAATATAGCATGGAATATGTTGACGTTTAAAACTAAAGATCTTATTTACAGATGCTTAAAATAACATTTACCTGTAGATGCTGAAACCTGAGCAAGCCACAACCGTAGGTCAACAAGCACATTTTGTGTAAACTGTGAATGAGGGAGGTCAAGACAGCCCAGGACAGCTCAGGATAGAGTTCCATCAGTTCTGACTCACTCACACCATTGTGACTGACGTTGACGAGGCAGAGGATCTAGGTCGAAAAGCAGCAATCACAAAGCACCGCTGTGAGTAACTCACAGCCACCGCAATTTCTGCAACTCTTTCAGGCTGACCGAGCTTTTACAACAGCTTAAAATTAAAATCATATGATAAACCAAGAAACAGAGTTCTTAAAATAAAACATACTGTCCAAAAGACATTAATGAAGAGCAAGACAGTGCATGTAAAAGTTAGCATGCCAAATATAACACACACATAGAAAAAAGTTTAGCAAAAATTAAAACTGCACGACATGTATTATAAAAACTAACGACAGAATTCCAATTCCAGAAAGAAAGTAGAAGATAATAGCCCTCTATAGATATCAGACACATCTGTAAAAGCACAGCCGAGCCTGCACAAAATAAAGGGGGATCGATCCTCCTAGTGCAGAAATGAGCAGGAAACTGGAAATCTTGGGGCTAATGGCTGGAGTTGCCGTCTCTGGGGCAGCAGAGGACAGGGCAGTTCCAAGGAATCAAAACCGCCATAGGGTAAAGGCAAGTCCTGACACTCCATGTGGCAAGGAGCTGGTGCTAGAATGCTGGTAAACACCAGGATCTTCAAAGGGCTTGGAAGGACCTTCACCCTCAGTGAGGGGGTACATGAGAAAAACATTAGCCCACAGACATGCAGAGATTACACAAACGCTTGTGGGCCTGGGATGGGGTGGGAAATCAAGACCCCAGGAACCACCAACCTAAAAAATTAACATAAAAATGGGGCCAGGTTCAAACTACAAGAGTTCAGTAAGGTTGTGAGATATGAAATAAACTCTCAAAGATCAAAAATAATAAATAATTAACAATTAACAAGCAAGTTAAAAGTTATTTTAATTATAAAGCACTGAGAAACAAACCTTAACAGCAGATATGCAGAACTTTCATGGGAAAGAAGCTACACACTATTGAAAGGCATTTAAAAAGTTGAGTAATAGAGAGCTATTTAGCTTCCCATGGAGAGGAAGACTTAAGTGATAATACCCCTGACTTAATCTGTAAATTCAAGGCAATCTCCAATTAACATTCAAAATGAGTTTCCATGCACTTTAGACCAATTATAAAAATACATAAGAAAAACTAGCAGCCAGACTCGGTGGCTCAGCCTGTAATCCCGCGCCTTTGGGAGGCTGAGGTGAGTGGATTGCCTGAGCCCGTGGGTTCGAGACCCGCCTGGGCGGCAAGACCTCATCTCTACAATAAATCAAAAAATCAGCTGGGCATGGTAGCGCATGCCTGTAATTCCGGCTACTTGGAAGGCTGAGGCGGAAGGATCGCCGGAGCCCAGCAGGTCGAGGCTGCGGTGGCCGGAAGCGGCCACTGCACTCCAGCCTGGGCGACAGAGTGAGACTCCAACTCAAAAAAAAGAAAAAGAAAAAGAAAAACTAGCCAAGACAATCGTGAAGAATAATAATAAAAGAGGATTTACCAAGCAAATGTCAACGCTCACTTCAAAGTTCTAACAACTAAGACAGTGTGGTATTAGCAAAGATCAGGCAGAACTGGAACAGAAGAGCCTAGAAAAAGACCCACGTTGATAAGTGAGCTTGACACTTGGCACTGCAAATCAGCAGAAAAGATGCACTATTTAGTAAAAAGAGCAACCAATTACCCACATGTCAAGAAATTAAAAAGTGGATTCCTTCTTCAAACAAGAAACAGAAAAAAACAACCTGAGTTCAGAACTTACACATGGAGAAAGAGCAAAACTAAGACGTTCTGAAGGAAAGGTGTGTGTGTGTGTGTGTGTGTGTGTGTGTGTGTGTGTGTGTGTGTGTGTGAACATGTTTATTACAGCAAAAGATTTTTTAAAGATGAAACAGGCATAAACCATTAAGGACACTGGTGATAAATTTTACTGCATCAAAGTAAAACTCTGCAAAATGAATGACACTGTAAAGGTAAGAGACAAGATATAAACAGGCATTTATTCGCAAATTCTATCATAAAGAATTATTCGGTATGCAGAACATTTAAGAACTCCTATAGCTCAATAAGAAAAGACAAAACACCCCAATTAAAAAACAGATAAAGACGCAAACTAGCAACTCACATAGACGAGAGCAAGGATAGCCAACAAACAGGAAAAGGTGATAAACGCCAATGATAATTGGGAAAACACAAGTTTCCACAAGGGCACTACGGCAATCAGCATTCCCAAATAGGCTTCAAACATAAGCAAAATAGCTGTTATTTACTTCAACTCATACACAAACACAAACAAGGCAAGCTATTCTCTCTTCTTCTAAGTGCATCACATTTTACCTGTTTCATTAGTTCTTTATCCACTTCATCTGCCATGGACTCCTGGACAGAGTGCAGAACAAGTCTATATAATGCCACAGTATCTTGACACTGCAAACACTGGTGAAGGATTTTATCTAAATTGCCTGCTCTCCCAGCACTGTTGGAATTGAGAAGAGATTTAATTTCTTAAAGACAGTCAATACCTGTGGAAAATTTGAGGTAGATAAAAACAATGTGATCTCTATTTTTTGCATCTAATAGCAAGAATTAGGTAAAATGTGCTATAGGAAAATGGTAAATTTTTTTTAGGAGGGTTGTCAGAGACATTGAGTTTAATTTAATACATATCATTTAATTCAATTCAATAAACATATACTGAGACTTACTACTTGTCAAGCAATTACTATGCATTATGGAACATAAAAATGAGTCATAGTTCTTATCACTTAAAAGCATGCCACCTACAAACAGAAAGCAGGGAAATAATGATATGTATTGTTAGTTATACATGAAATCAAATATGTGTAGAGCCAGGTTTTTAAAACATCAAGCTAAACTGAAGAAAATCAGCAAATAGGGGGCTTGTTTTAAAATATTATGCAACAGTTAACAGAAGTTTTCTAAAAAATATAAAGTTGCATAAAGAGAAAAAAACAAAAAAGGGCATAATCCCTTTAAAAACAGGTACTTTCAACACATATTATGAAATGTATGAAAAATGACTCACATTTCACATACTTATTGTACTACTGATGTTCACAGAGGCCAGACACATTGCCACAATTCTCACAGTAGAAAAAGCTATCACTGGCAATTTAAAGTTCCAGAGGACTTTTTTTCATTTCAAATTTGGTGCTCAAGATGAGAATGTGGTATTAAGAGGTAACAGTATTAGAGTCAGTGTCTGGAAATATGAGCTGTGCTAGGATTACGATCAGTTTTGATGAATACCCTCCAAAAATTAATCTTTGGGCCTGTGGTTGAAAAAAGACAAAAGCAGAGTGAAGATGGACTGGAGGAGAAATAAAAGCAGTAAAACATTCTAATGGTTGAGCGTAGACAGTAGATAAAGTTGTACTGACAAGATAAAAGTAGTAACATTCTCATGCTTCCCTTAAGGCAGATTACCAAGGGGAATCTAAAATAGAGCTGCTTTATGAGAAAGACTTATCAGGATTTCATTAGAGAGACAACTAAAAATTCCTGCCCACGTATCTACCTACTGATGTTCGAGGAAGCCTGAAATAACACTCTTATACCTCAGTGGTTCCCTGTACTTTCTCAACGCCTCAAGCAGGTGACAATGAGTACTCCTGAGTGGGGCCCCCAGTGAGGGTGAGGATGGCTTTCTCCTGCAACCTCCAGCAGGGAAAAGGGAAATGTGATGAAAATCACACAAATCTCCACAAGTTCTAACAATTTACGGGCTACTCAGTCTGCGGATGTGAAGCTAGTCTACGGAATGTTAGTATCACTCTTAGAATAAACATTATCAAGTGGTCCAAGAGAAAGTCTGTAATGGTCAGTCCTCAGTTTTACAGGATGAGGACGTGGTCTGCAGCGACTACAAAGCATGCAGAAGATCACACAAAATAACCGCCACTTACTGTGTCATCAGTTTGCCGAAAAGGGTGACATACAGAGCATTGCAGGTTATAGCAGAACGACAGTGCCGCTCTATCTTCTTCTCCTGTACCGGTGCACCAAGAAAACAAAACAAAAATTAAAAGACCATCTGGAATAAAGCAGTGTTTACTACCGAACCATCAACCACTGTCCCAGCAGAAATAACAGCCTCTGCCTCTCTGATCACACCATGTCGTGGTGGGTCCTCAGCTCTGGCCAGCCTTCCCACTACAGACCGGAGATACAGCTACTGTCAAAGCTTCTGGGCCTTTAAAACATCTGCTTAATATTATACCGTAAAGTACACCTGAAGACCAAGCTATTTTTATTCATCTTCTCTACCTGTTGTTAGTTTAAGAGGAAATGCATATACCAAAGGAACTACTAAACTCCAATTTTCCTTACAACACAGCTCCTATATTGAATTTTAAGTCTAAGAGGTTTTATAGGAAAGCTGATGGAGATAAAAGATAGCATCAAAATTAAATATACTTGCCTGCTCTTTACTCAGTTTAATGTCTACAGAGTGGCACTCTGCAATGATGACAGACTTTGCATCTTTCGGATTTAAAGGATCAAGATGAAGTGTAGGCCACAACCTTTTATTTAAAGAAAATAAAAATGAAGCTCTAATAATAAAACAGGAACTATAATCTACCCACAACACAAGTTAAAATTCATTACAAGAATTAATTTTTATATTGCCTTTATTTCACTCATTGTAACATTACTTTCAACAATGAATCACAACAGAGTATCATAAAAATAAATAGTATGTACATTAGCCAGCTCAGTGATGAAACATTTCTAGTCCTATGTCCTACACTACCAGTAGAACTAAGCACTGGAGTTTGTACCTACTAGGAACAAGACATAGTTGTCATCCACAAGCACTTAAAATGCAACTGGAATTTAATTATGACAACGTGCACTCTCAACATGGCAGTGAACATCACTTCCTGTGAGGGAGTGGAAGATATCTTACTCTTTATGCATATATCCCAAATATACGCACACTTATTCCTATATATAAACCAATAGTACGTGTGTGGCATTAAAATTTCTTGGTGGGGGCAATTAGAAAGGAAAACGTCCAAAAGGGCTTCTTAGGGGGGCAAAAATAGGGTGAGAAGCACTGTCCTCAGCCTCTGTATTCCCGTCTTGAGAACCATGAGTGTGAGCTTGCACTGCAAGGTGACAGGTGTCCTGTATTTGATTCCACCCAAGCCCTCCCTGTCCGCTCACACATCTAGCTGTCTTCCAGACATCATGACTGGGAGTTGCTGTGTACAGAAACTAACTTGCTACCTCTCCCCCACACACCTGCCTGTCCTTTTTGGTTCCTATTGCAGTTCTTGAAACCGTATTTACTTGATTGCTCAAGCCAGAAACTCAGGAATCAGCCTAGCTCTCTCCTTTTCCCTTCATCCCAGATCTAAAGGCCCATCAAATCCTATAGATTGTCTCTTTTTCTGGAGCTCCCCCACTTCTCCCCACCCTCACTGCCATTTATGCAAAAAACCATAAAATCAAAAATGCATATCAAAAACCTTCCCTTGTTTGTACTTAAAGCATTTCATGTAATCTGAAAGAACTAAAGTTAGCATCATACCTCCATGCTGGAGGGCATGTTTCTACATTCACAGAAACAATTACTCTTACATTCACTGGCAGTGGATCTATCAGCCATTTCATGTGTTTTTCAACTTGCTTAAAAATATAAAAACAAAATTCAATCTATTAATCAAAATATTTAAAAACAATCCAATAATAGCTCTGCAAATAAAATGAAATTCTCATTTTCTCTTATTATTAAGGCTATAATCTTATTTTTGATTTATCTTAGAATTTTAAAAGAACAAGTGGCAAAACACTGTTATCACCAATTTGAACTCTGGACATATAAGGCAATGTCAGGGCCCTAAAAATGCCACAATGACCAGTCTTTGCTAATTGTGTAACTTCAGCTGGTCTTTCCCAACAAGATACCAGTATCTACTGGCATACGGCACACATGGTTTTATCCACATGCTTCTTTCCTAGAAATGAAGTGGAAATAAAAGAAGCGACATCAACATTTTCTTCTCACAAACATGTAATTTAAATGTCTGATCTGGCCATGACCGACCTTTCACTATCTTGCAGGGCAAGTTACCACGGCTCACAAAGCGAAAGCAGTACCTGAACTTGATCTATAGAGTCAATGATGATGATGATGCTGCCCTGATGACGAGCAGACAGCTTTTCCAGCCACCGTGGGAATTCCTCCAGAAGCTTGGCAGGATCCAGTGTCAGAGTAGACACCGCCCAGGAGTGCTGCATCAACTGCCAGTTAAGAACAATCACAAAGGAAAGCAGTCACACTTCACCAGAGCTAGTGGGGAATATTTTCATCTCTGCTATTTAAACCAAAACAGAATCACCAGCAGGACCTGCTGGTATCAAACATTATTGGTAACCAAAACACATGGATACTACTGAAAACTGGCTTGTCACTTATTAGTCCCAACAATTTCTGAGTCTAAATACATTTCTGAGATGAGTAAGTCAAAAGACAGCTTACTATACCTTTAGAGCTAGTCGCTTGATAATCAAAGAAGACTCTGAGCTGGTTGACAGAGGCCTTCCCACAAAATGAGAAAGAATCAGTGTGTTAGGGGAATTCTTCTGTTGCAATTGAATCCTGAAAGGACAGGTCACTTGTAAGACAGCTCCTTTTACTGTCCACAGCCAAAAAGAATCCACAATACGCCCGATATAAAATGCCACCTAACTGTCAGTAATCAGACAGGCAGTCACTTCTGAAGAAATATGGAGATTTCTGGTTTTACTCCATTTTTGGATACTTTAAAAAAATTATAGATGCATTTTAATTACAAATTTATGTGAATTAATGTGAATCTAAGTAGTTTACTTTAGGGGTTAAGGTATCAGTAAAATAATGATTAACTTTTAATGAAAAATATGCAGTTAGAGAAAATTCATTAGGTACAAAAATATTATCTTTCAAGCAATAAAAGGAAACAACTACACATGATAACTCTTCAACATAAATAATTATGAAAGAAAGATAATATTCTTACTTCTTTCTAAACAGTATAATGAAATAACAAAGTTTACAAGCTTTTATGAACCTTAATCCACAGTTTGATTACATTCGTAGTAAAGTTTACCCTTGATTTTGATGTTCTGTAGGACTTACTGTACTCAAAATAGTCGGTTTTAGTCTTGTTTCAAATATTTAAAACCCGAATGGAACTGTTAAGATGAAGCCAGTAATTGAAAGTAAAGGCAGAGTCTGCTACAGCCCACCTAATGGCATGTCACCCTGATCACTCTGTCACACAGCACACCCGTAGATCTTTTCATGTAATTTATGTATATAATCATGAATGTTCACATGTCCTATTCCTTTCCCATTGTGTATCTTCTCTCCGATACCCAAATCCTATGCATTTTATGGCATGAACCTACTATTTTACTCCTTTGTATTTTTTAAACGTTTCGTGTCGGCCACACAGGAAGGCAGACATGCAATACATTTTGTGGAATGAATTCACAGGATGATGACAATAAGAACAACTCAATTGCCCCGCATCATACCACTTTGATAAAAGAAGAGACTTTCCAGAGCCCGGTCCCCCAGATACCAGAAGGGGTGGAATCGGTGCTGGAGCTGCCACCAGATCATCAAGGCGTTGGTAATACTAGAAACAAAAATGAATTTAAATTGTGAGGAAGCACAGGCCTCTGAGAACACTGAAGAGATTCAACTTCTGACTATCCTTTGCAAACACTGGGGAAAAGCTGCATGAGAAACTGAAATATCCTTTAGTTGATAGCACCTTCATTGCTTATTTTTATGGCTGACAAATACAAGTTTGCCTGAACCAGAAAACGAAGACTGGGCCATTTCCTCCACACAATGTGAATCAATGGGCGAGCGACAACATTTCAGGCCCCTGCGGGCTTTGCAATGCAGATGTTTGCAGAATGCTGCAGGAGGCTTACTGTAGTACACTGTAGCCCCCAAACCACAGAAAGTATCACAGAGGGCCTTGTGGGCCCCAACAGGCATCCCAGACCTCCTGGTCAGAAAGATGAACACCTGTTCCTGGAGACCACCTCAGTTTCCAGGGATCCCTGGGAATGTGTCCAAACAAGATCAGGTTTTGTCTGGGGCCCTGGAGTCTCTCAACCTGCCCAAGAGAATCAGGTTAGGATAGGCCACCCGAGAGCTTTCTGAAATTGAGTTCTATGTGAATTCCAAGAACATATTTCTCAGGCTTTCCCCAAACACTCAAAACGAATTCCGAGCTGAAAAGGAGACACTCAGAAAACCAAAATATCTTAGTACTTATTAAGGAGTTTCCAGAGTTGTCTTGGGAGTTGAGATATGCTTTTAAGTGTACCAGTGGTCTCAATGATAGCTGATGAGAATTTTTTTTTAAATATGCAATAAGTACTTTGTGGCTAGTGTTAGGGTAGCAAAATTCTCCAACATACAATAAATGATTACCCGGTATAGTTTTGCAGTCAATTTTTCTGCTTGTCATATCTAAAAACAGAATATATTCCCCAGGAATGCAAATATATCTAATAAAATGACGCTTCTGAATGAGCAAAGGAAAGGCTTTACTGTTTCATCACCTCATAAATCCTAACCACCCAGTCCATGGTCCCACACAAAGCCCATATAGGATTCGTGGTTCCCAAATCAAGAGAAAACATAGAAGTTGGAGCCAGAAGAACAAAATTCAGCTTCTGAATCTGCAGTCCACTCCCCACACAGCCTAGGCAAGCCATCATCTGAACTTCAGTCTCTTCACTTATGAAGTAACAACAGCAATACCTCTCATAAAATGACGATTAACTTAGCATTGATCAGGTACCAGGCACTGTGCTGAGCACGTTATTTGCACTGTCTGGTTTAATCCTCACAACTACCCTATGAGGTAGGTACTATTAGTCATTCACATTTTATGGACAAGAAAGTCAAGTTTAGAGTGGTCAATTACCTTGATCAAATTCTAGTCAGAAAATGATGGAGCCAGGACATAAACACAGTCTAAATTATAAAAGTTCTATAAAAATACAACTATCAATATTAGCTACTGTACTAGTGTTTAAAATGAGTTCTTAATGTTCACAATATCATTAAGTATTTTTTGAACTGGACATAGATTTTTTTCGCATACCTCAAGTTCCAGTCATCTGTTTAGATACTTAAGTATGCTAAGAAGACCAATAAAGAAGGAATGATCTGCCTCTTTCACAAACTACTGGGCTTCATTTTCAGAATGTTTAATATTTTGATTCCTTTAAGAACTGGAAGAACAGATAGCCTTACTATTCTCATCAAATTTCCTAGCTGTCCTAATCCACGTGTGGGTAGTTGATAAATACTAACCTGTAACTAAAAATGCTGTTTAAGTGCATTTGACTCTCACATCTCTTTCACAGGATAAAAACCTAAGCATACCTTAGCATGAATAATCAAGCCACGAGAGCAGACAACGAACACAATCACAACCTTGATCATATTTAGGTGAAAATACAGCCATAAGACAGTCTTTAAGTGGTGACCGATCTCCATTGGAACAGTACTCCAAATACTTACTTTCTCAAATCCCAACTCATGAGCTGAATTACAAGACTGATGAAAAGTTTCCATTTGCTCTTGTTCATCACGTATGTCCCACAGAACATCACCGAAATCCTCTTCTTCTGGAATGGAATCTTCGCTGCCCAGATCCTTTGTCTCCAGGTCTGTGTTCTCAAGGCCCAGTATGTCCTAAACAGAAAGAACAACCACGTCAAAATGAACAAACACAGATCTTGTGGCAGGGGTCAGCACACAGGCCAAGGTGGGCTGCACCTGCTGAGAAGGGCAAACTCAAACGCTCCTCAGCAGGCCTTTGCGTGATGACTATGGGAATACGTTTCTAACCATAAAAGCAAACACGAATTAAAAGCAAAGAAGAGGAACACAAACGTGAAAGTGATAAAAACAAAGACCTCTTTTCATTAAGAAGTTAGAAGGATAGTTGACTCCCACAGGATTTGTATTCTGAAAAGTGTTACACAAAATCTTGGTTATGTCTGGCTGGTACATAATTATAAAGGTTGTGCCGATGCCTAAGAAATGTTCCATAAGAATTTAATTACTAAGGTATGATTTACTGATATCAAAAATATCTGCTCTCATATCTAGTCTTTATGTTAGGTTACTAAAAACATGCTGTCCTTCAAGCACAAAACATGGTAAACATGTCCAGTTTCATTTGCCACCATTCATTCTGCTCATTTAATGTTATTTATCTTGGTTCTGAAATTCACAAAACTGTTAGAAAGATACAAAGTGATGACAACCTTTATACTAGAGAGTGCTACACAAAAGGTGTTGCCAGAATTCAAATCATTACTTTGTCTTTTTCTCTAATAACAAATCTCCACACCTAGAAGTTGATTAGAAAAGGTGAGCCAACCCTTTCCTTTCCAAATAGGGTTCCTGGTTCCCTGGGGAGGTATCTTGTTCATCATGTATGTCCCACAGAACATTTTACTTAAAGATGGAGGGTTATTTTTCTTTTTATTATTGCTATTACTATTTTGTTAATACATAATTTAAGATGGTTTCTGGTGCTAAACATAAATGGGTATAATATCAAGCAGAATATAAAATTCACATACATTTTCAAGATAATGCATGACAATTCTCTACCAGCAAATGGAGACTCCAGCTCAAGAACCCCTCCCTGATCCACATCCTCACCCTCGGGAACACTTTCATCCTTCTCTGCTGTTAGAGATAACATGGCGGGAAAATCTGAGCAGGACTTCTCGAGAACATCAAAATTCAAAGGGCACAAGAATCTAAGGAGCCTCTCTACTGAATAAAATAGACATTTTCCTGAAATGGATTTTAACTAGCAATTTTGTAACACACTGAATACGTCACAGGTACTGAAACACTGAACAGCTCTGTGAGACAAGTGACAGACAAAGGTACACGATCATACCACAGGTGGACTCCCCACAGAAACAATGACACTTTCCTAAGGGACGGTTTTCGAAAAACAAGCCAGTGGTTTTCTCTGGTGATATCGATCTTATAGAAAACAGTCTTAAAATATTTTAGATAAAGTATTTCATGGAATACATATTTACCTGCTTAATAATCTTTTCCACACACACATATGCTTTATATACTCCTTCTGCAGGATCTCCTGAGTGACTGACGATCTGGAAAAAAAATGGTAATGATAACAAGAAAAAACCACCAAGGCAGGAAGAAGTGATGGTGGAAAGCACTTTGATTGTGCTTACGTGTCAGGAACGATTCTGAGCGTACTTTAGCTTGCTTGTCCTCACAGCAACTTGAGGAGGAAGGTTACCATCCCCCATTTCATAGAAGAGGAAACGGAGGCAAGTAAAGTAATTTGTACAAGGTCACACAGAGGGTTCAGCTTGAACAAAGGCGCCATAAAACAAAAAAATACACGTGTTTTTTCCTTTGTCCAAATTCCATCTTATGTACCTCTCTACCACTCAATGACGTATGCTTCAAAATGCATCAAAATCAAATTTTGTGCCAGTAAGGCTATAATTCTAAAAAATAAAAAAAGCAAAATAGTATTTTGATATATGAGACAGTAGTTTGATACATGAGACAGTAGTATATATTGAGTTTACTGACTGAAAAATGCCCTGGCTCTAAAGAATGTGTGTGTTGCTAGAAATAATATTTGACAAAATTAGAATATTCACCCAGCGTTTACATTTATGGTCATGGCAGAAGGATCTTATTTTACTCCAATTTTTATAAAATAAACCCATTCTTCTATTGTACTAATTTTTAAAAAGTCATCTTTGACAAAGCCTCCAACAACAACCCTGGGGAGAGGAGAACTTATTTAGTAAATGGTGCTGGGAAAACTGGCAGCTCACTTGCAAAAGATTGAAACAGGACCCTACCTATCACCATACATAAAAATTAACACTAAATGGATCAAGGACCTAAACGTAAAACCTCAAACTATAAGAATCTTGGAAAACGCAGGAGACACCCTTAAGGAAACTGGAACTGGCAACCAATTCCTGATCACAACCTTAAGAGCCCATACCATAAGAGATAAGATAGACAAGTGAGACCTCATCAAACTAATGAGCTTCTACAAAGCAAGAGAAACCATCAAGAGAGCAGGGAGACAGCCCACAAAATGGGGAAAAATATTTATTTGCCAACTGTATATCTGGCAAAGGCCTAACAACTAGGATCTACAAGGAACTCAAATGTGCCTAAAGGAAAAAAATAAACAGCCCTATTAAAAAGTGGGCAAAATGCATGAATAGACACTTCTCAAAAGAAGATATACGGGCAGCCAACAGCCATCTGAAAAAGTGCTCATCCTCACTCATCATCAGAGAAATGCAAATCAAAATCACATGGACATACCACTTAACCCCAGCAAGAATGGCCATCATTAATAAAATAAACAACAACAGACGCTGGCGAGGATGTGGAGAAAAAGAAACGCTTCTCCACTGCTGGTGGGAATGCAAATTAGTGCGACCTCTTTGGAACACAGTGTGGCGATTTCTAAAAGGACTAGAAACTGACCTACCATATGACGGAGCAATTCCCCTATTGGGAATATACCAGGAGGAACTCAAATAATTCTATAAAAAAGATACCTGCACGTGCATGTTTGTTGTAGCTCTATTCACAGTAGCAAAAATATGGAACCAACCATGTTGCCCATCAAAGCTGGACTGGATTAAAAAAATGTGGTACATATACACAATGGAATATTATGCAGCCATAAAGAAGGACAAATATATGAACTTTGCAGCAACTTGGATGGATTTGGAGTCGGTCATAGTCAGTGATTTATCACAGAAACAAAGAACAGAGTTCCATATGTTCTCACTCATAAGCAGACCTTGAACAACTGTGCTATAAGAAAGCGATTGGCAGTAGTGGGAAACTGTCAGGAAAGGGGGGTGGATTGGCAGCTGAGGGAAACTGCTGGGGAGGGGCACACCTCATCAGCAAGGCTACCTGAGTAATCAACGTCTGTATACCTAACCCTGAATTGTACCCCACATCTTTATAATGTTATAAAATAAACAGAAAAAAGAAGATGGGAATTAGTATCTTTTCCTGTGGGAACTAGTAGACCTGGTGGATACCAACATAATCAATGCACTTTTTGTCTTAGGGTCTTTGGATTTATATGTTATGCTGGCCTCAAGCTTTCTTGTTTTTGCAGTTTAAAAATCATTTTTTAATTTTCTTCAGGTCTTGTCTTCAACTTTGCTATGTCTCATTCTCCATCCCATCTTCCACTTTCACTGTGAGGCCATAACATATCTGGCCACGTCCAGATGTTACTAGCATCGCACAAGCAGAAGTGAAGTGGCATTCTGTTATCTTGGACCAGGAGGAAGGACACATGCTTTGCCTCCCCTCACCCAGGTGCTTTGCCACCCTCACGTGCCCCAGCCTTGTGAAGGACCCACAGGAGATCTGCTTCTAGAGAATGAGGCGCTCGCAACAGGGACCACCTGGCACCTCACTCCAGGAAGCAGGTGGTCTACTCAAGCAACCAGAAACATGGTGATCGCCCTGGTCGAGCTATCTTTTCACTACTAAATGATGTAAAGAAAAATGTGATCTTATTTTCTGGCTAGGCACGGGGAAATAAACAGTCTGTCAAGATCCTGGAGTTGTTTTCAGCTGTATTCTTCACATTAACCAGAAACATTTACCAAGTTAGCTCCATGTACAGTAATGAAAAGCCTGTGATCCCTATTCTAAAAATTATCCTGCCATCCACACAGGGATGATCGAGTTTCTCTCAACCTCTCATCAGCATTTTGCTTTCCCCAGAGCTCTTAGGAAAAGTCACTATAACAAATATTTTCCAGATCAGGTGCCTGTAATCCCAGCACTTTGGAAGGTTGAGATGGAAGGATGACTTGGGCTCAGGAATTCGACACCAGCCTGGACAACGGAGTGAGACTTTGGCGCTTACAAAAAAATTTAAAAATTAGCTGGATGTGGTGGCACTTGTCTGTAGTCCCAGCTACTCGGGACTGGGAAGATTACTTGAGTCTAGGAGTTCAAGGCTGTGGTGAGCCATAATCATGTCACTGCACTCCAGCCTGGTGAGAGAGTGACTACAACTCAAAAAAACAAAACAAAACAAAACAAAACAAAAAAACCCAGCTGGGCTCAGTGGCTTAGCCTGTAATCCCATGCTTTGGGAGGTCAAGGTGAGTGTATTGCCTGAGCCCGTGGGTTCGAGATCCGCCTGGGCAACTTGGTGAAATCTCATCTCTACAATAAATAAAAAAAAATTAGCCAGGCGTGGTAGTGTGCGCCTGTAGTTCCAGCTACTTGGAAGGCTGAGGTGGAAGGATGACCGTCGGAGCCCAGCAGGTCGAGGCTGTGGTGACCGGGAGCATGCCACTGCACTCCAGTCTGGGTGACAGAGTGAGACTCCAATTCAAAAAAACAAAACAAAACTTTTCTTTACACTAATCCTTGGTCAATAGATAGAAGGACTCTGTGCTTGGGAACAATGCACAAAAAAACCATCTGATTTGTCCACTCACAGATCATAGTCTTTCTAGCCACACAGTCTTACTCATTCTGCTCTTTTTCTCATAGCCCCCAACCAATCTGTTGGGAAATCCTGTTGGCGTTACTGTCAAAATTTATCCAGAATCCTACCACTTCTCATCATCTCGTATACACCACCCTCTTCCAAGACCCCAACATCCCTCACTTGGGTGACGGCAATAGCTTTCAGACTCTGCACACGACCCTCCAACTGACTGTTCTCAACACAGGAGCCAAAATAGATCGTCAGTCAGATGGACAGGTCAGTCCTGCCATTCTTTTGCTCTCAGTCCTGCCGTAGCTCCTATCTCACTTCGAGTACAAAGCTTTAAAACAGTCTCTGATTGTAAAGAACTTCAGAGGTGATTCTAAGGGCCTGGGCTAGTGACACTGGCTTCCCTACCTCCCCAGACACGGCAGGCTCACACCCACCTCCTGGCCTTTGCTCCAGCTTTTCCCTCTGCCAAGATTTACGTTCTTCAGTAATCCTACAAATCTTACCTTGGCTTTGTTGGTCTTGCTTAGGTTAGAAACTTGGTCAATCAGTTGCTGGACAGCGTCAGAACTGACTTTCCCGTCCTCCAAACGATGATAGATCAGTCGTGGCTTTCCTTCAGGGTTTTCCAGAAAAGCTTCTTCACAGTCTTCCAGTAGTAGGCTGGAGTGAAAATCGGCATTTCATGCACTACACTGCACTGTGGCAGCAGTTAGTCAATCAACCTAAGTTCAAGCATGGCTTTTAGGACAATGACAAGTGGCCAGAAAGGCTCAGCTGCAGAACAAGTGAAGTTCTCAAAAAACTGTTATTTTTATAGTCCTGTACTAGCTCAGTCTTAAAAAATAATGTGTGCATTAGCCAACGATGAATGCAAGTAAGATAAATTAGGCATTAAATAGTAAAGCACATATAGCTTTATTTTTAAAAACTAAAAAAAAAAAAAAAAATTGCAAAAAGACTGTTGAACATGGCTCAAACAACGGACCAGGCTCGTGAGACTTGGCAAACAAATGGAAGATGGGCAGGTTCCACGTTCAAGCCAGCACCCAGGAGGCCAGGCTCAGTGTGGCACACAGGCCCCCGTGCATGGCATGAGGCCCACTCCCACTGCCATACTTCTCGGCGGCCATGAGAAAAGAAACACTGAAATGAAAAGATAAGCAAATGTGAGAAGAGCAGTCCAGGCAAACTAAAGACAAGGTAGAGGCTAACAAAATATAAAATTTAATGAATTAAAATTCTTACTCTTCAAAAGGAATATAATTTTTTAAAAATATGTAAAATTTTACTTAAGGGAGATAAATTGAAATCTGCCAAGCAAATGTAATCAAATATAAAAAAAATAGGAGAGAAAACATGAAAAGAGTTTAAAATTGAAATCTAAAAATAAATGTTGAAAGTGTAAAAATAATGTACAATATTTTATTAACAAAGAAATTTCTTCAAGTTGAAGAAAAAAGACGATTTCAAAAATTAAAGAATTAAAGGAAAAGAACGTAACAACAAATGACATATATTGCCAGGCAAGATAAAACACTACCCAAATATTGGCAATAAACCAAGATATATCCTTAATAAACACCAAAAAAAGGGGGGGAAAGAAAAGGGGAATAAATGGACAGTCATGAAACCCAACTGAAGGCAGAGCAGTCGAGTCGAGGGAAACATATTCTGGATGAAGGCTAACTGATCAGGTCGTTCCCTGCCCACCTAGTCACCTAAGGATCAACAATGAATTAGACTGCAGAGAAGCGCTGGTGAAGCTTAAGGTCCTACAGACTTCTGTACACAGTTAAGGTCAGAGTTGGTCCACAATCTAAAAAAATTAAAAAGCTTTGAAAGCATTAAATCCAGACAACATATCTAGAAAGAAAAACTAACCTCTTATTAAATGTATTTTATGCTTTATCTATGTAGCTAATTGGTAAAAAAAATTCTTATTTGCACATAAAATTCATTAGCATAATTATATTCATTAAAAAATTGTTCACTTTACTGGGTTTAAGTTGTAACTGCCTTATATCATTTAAATTATAACTCAATACCTACACAAGTGTTCAAGTACACGAACTTTATAGTACCATATAAAATTCAAATACCAGCCGGGCTCGGTGGCTCAGCCTGTAATCCCGCGCCTTTGGAAGGCTGAGGTGAGTGGATTGCCTGAGCCCGCGGATTCAAGACCGCATGGGCAACTTGGCAAGACCTCACCTCTACAATAAATCAAAATGAACCGGGCATGGTAGCGCATGCCTGTAGTTTACTTGGAAGGCTGAGGCGGAAGGATCGCTGGAGCCCAGCAGGTCGAGGCTGTGGTGACCGGAAGTGGCCACTGCACTCCAGTCTGGGTGACAGAGTGAGACTCCAACTCAAAAAAAAAAAAAAAATTCAAATTCAATTTGTATCCCAGTAAAGGAAACCATGAAGGTTAATTCTGATTATTGAAATCAGGGGTCACCAACCTTTTCTGTAAAGAGTAAGAGTGAACATCTTGGGCTTTGCAAAACATACAGTTTTTGTTGTAACTATTCAACTTTGCTGTTACAGAACAGAAGCAGCTGTACAAAAACATAAATAATTCAATGTGGCTGTGTTCCAATAAAAGTTCACTTACAAAAGCACACTCCTGGCTGGATTTGGCCCTTGGGTTGTAGTTTGCCAACCCCTGATAAAAATGATCTTTACATTAACCATGTTGACCATATGTTGATCTAATAGCATAAAAGCATAAAATTTTTAATTCTTTATTTCAGTATGAACAGTAATAAAATTAATTATATGTCATAGATTGCTTTTTATTATAAGAATGCAAGCCGGGCTCAGTGGCTCAGCCTGTAATCCCGCGCCTTTGGGAGGCTGAGGTGAGTGGATTGCCTGAGCCCACGGGTTCGAGACCCGCCTGGGCAACTTGGCGAGACCTCATCTCTACAATAAATCAAAAAATTAGCCGGTTGTGGTAGCGCGCGCCTATAATTCCAGCTACTCAGAAGGCTGAGGCGGAAGGATCGCCGGAGCCCGGAGCCCAGCAGGTGAGGCTGCGGTGGCCGGGAGCGGCCACTGCACTCCAGTCTGGGTGACAGAGTGAGACTCCAACTCAAAAAAAAAAAAAAAAAAAGGATGCAATTGGAAGTTATCTTTGAATTTCATTTGGCAACAGTTCTATTTACAGCTTAATGCCTATAATAAATTACAATATTATTCAGCTTACCTTGGTAAAGTTAAGTAAATGAATAAAATAACTAAAGAACTCTTCTCAATTTCCCATTTTCTTAGAGTAAGGTAATTATTTTCAACATCTATTGGAAAATAAACAGCATGGAAAAAATATCCCATTGTCTCACACATTCTTTTAAGCTTAGGTGAATAGTCCTAAAAACAAATTAAAACATATAAAAACATAACATATTTACCTAAAGATCTAGTGAGAGTCATACTAATTAAAATATTTATTTTATTATAAAAACATGCTTTAAAACAGATTAGACTGGATATTTCTAATATAAAATTTTAAAAATAATAATACAATTACATTTTTAAAAATCTTAAAGATAAAAGACAAGTGTCTCTCCCTTACACAAATAGTAATAGCTTAACTTGGCTATATTCTAGCTCAGAAAATGACTTCATAATAAACCTAAAACAATAGGAGAAAGTATTAGGTCATTTTGCTTTGGTATTTGTTTCTTTTTGTTATTATTAACAATTTATTTTACTGTTATAAGGAGTGCAAAATATAAATCCATAGATGCATACAGTAGATATATTAGAACACTGAAACAGACAGATATAAGTTAAAAACATGTTGGTCTATAATAAACTAGGTTACTAAATAATGATGACTATTATTATCATAAAAAATGAGCTGCACTCTCAAAAATGCTCTTGGGAATAACCTCCATTTGATTACTAGATGGAAGCTTTGGGTTTTAAAATAGTTCCTCTTTTTACCAAAATTGAATAATATCACAAAGGAAAGCTAAATGAATTTATTAGTCAACAATCTGTAGGTTGTGAATATAGTAGGGATAGCATGTGACATACATATTTAAGAAAAATTCATTTAGAAAAGTTGTAAGCAAACATTTTTTATAAAAGATCTGATAACAAATATTTTTGCAAAAATAATAATGGCTTAATAACTTGGTCATTTTAGTAGGATCTTTGTGGCTTATCTGGTTTCTCAAAATTTACTCTGCCATTGAATTGCTGTTGTATTACAACCATAGATGATACATAAACAAATACGTGTGGTAATGTTCTAACAAAACTTTATTTATAAACATTAAAATTAGGATTCCATATAATTTTCACATCATAAAATATTCTCCTTTAGATGAAAGGAGAAACCCGGAAAAATGTAAAACCCAATCTTATCTCTGGGCCATATGAAAACAAGCAGCAGGCCAGATTTGCCAACAGGCTACAGTTTGCTGATCCCTGCCTTAGAACACATCCAGTAGTGCCTTAAAAAATTAAAAACCATAACAAGAAGTAAATTTTATTATTACCTGACACAGATTCAAGGACAGAGCTGGCAAAAAGTAACTAAAGTAGATATGATCAACAAGGGTCTAAAACATTGCCGAGAACATGCAATGCAACATTCAAAGAACATGAAGTTCCAACACCTCATGTTGATATCCAAAACTAATTACAATTAGAACCATCTTTGTCGGTCTTAGCTCCTGTCTTAAGAAAATTATTCCGGGGGGTGGGGGGGGAGGGGGATGGGATTAACAGTAGCAAATATTTGTCGGGGGATGGGAAAACACCTCTTATCAACAGGGTGCCTGAATGAAACGTAATTGTACACCTAACCCTTAACTGTACCCCACAAAACCATAATAAAAAATACTGATTAATGAAAAAAAAAAAGAATGAAATCAGTGCCCTCATTAAAAAAAAAAAAAAAAAGAAAATTATTCTCAGAAAGTTTTTTTTAAAAAATTCTTGATTCACCACCTATCCTCCTTTGCATATATTACAACACTAAACAAGATTTTCTCTTAAGAAAAGCCCAAGATGCTTGCTGTTCTTTAAGACATATAATCTAGTAGGCAGCAAACTAATTCATTTAAACACAATAGTATCAAAAGTAGGTTCTAATATTAACTTATACTTTAAATCAGTGAATACAAAATTTATAAGCATTCTCACCTTAAGGAAAAGATCCATTTCAGGCTGGGTTTCATCTGTATAAATGAGGTAACATCTGACAGTGTTACTCCATAGAGAATGTGAAAACAAGGGAGTAACATGCAGTAAACTAGCCACAGCAACATCCCAGTCATCTGAAAATAAAATGTCTCATAAGTTCATGAAAAAACTACCAGAACACATTGGACAAGATGATTCCAAAAAAGTCTGAAAAAACATAACATCATGGAATGGAATCTGATCTCACATGTCAATACTGACACAGCTTCTAGAATAACACATTAGAAGGCAATTCGTTTTCTCACCTCAAATTCTCTTTGGGAGTTGAAGGAACACATATCACCAGTGGCCTCCCTGGGGTACCAGTGGCTCCAGTCAAATGCCATGAAACTACTTTATGTGAACTATTCAGTGAGTTTGCTACTAGAGAAAAGTTAGTAGCAAACTCATTTCTGGGCGGACCTTCTTATTGTTCTTGAAATACATTGTGTCAAAAAGAAAGGCCAAGAATGGCATAAAAAAGTGGCTGTATTTTGTGTTTAGTGAGTATGAAAATTTTAAGATATGTTTGGCTAATTCAAAAAGCACAATTTTAAGATATGTTTGGCTAATTCAAAAAGCACAATTTTAAAAGTAATTTTAATTTTGGTGATAAAGAATATTAATAGTTCTAAGAGTAGAACTACTTATAACTTCTTAGGTCTGCACTGATAATGAAATTCTGAACACATCTTAAGCTGTTTTGGACCAGATTATATAAAAGTAACAAAAATATTCTTTTGAGCCGGGCTCGGTGGCTCAGCCTGTAATCCCGCACCTTTGGGAGGCTGAGGTGAGTGGATTGCCTGAGCCTGCGGGTTCGAGACCTGCCTGGGCAACTTGGTGAGACCTCATCTCTACAATAAATCAAAAATTAGCCGGGCGTGGTAGCACACGCCTGTAGTTCTGGCTACTTGGAAGGACAAGGCAGAAGCATGACCGGAGCCCAGCAGGTCGAGGCTGTGGTGGCTGGGAGTGGCCACTGCACTCCAGTCTGGGCAACAGAGTGAGACTTCAACTAAAAAAAATATATATACATTCTTTTGACTACAAATAACAGTTGACCCTTAGTATCAACTGGGCATTGGTTCCAGGACTTCCTAAGATACCAAATTCATGGTACTCAAGTCCACTTTATAAAATGGTACAGTATTTGCATACCACCTACACACATCCTCCCATATACTTTAAGTCATCTCCAGATACCTAATGTAAATGCTATATTAAAGTTGTTATACTGTATTTTTTATTTGTAGTTTTTACTGTTATATGTCTTTCCCAAATATTTTTGATCGGTGGTTGGCCAAACCTGTGGATGCAGAACCCATGGATATGAAGGATCGATTGTACTATGTTACTAAACGAGCTTTTGTATTCTGTATTCTGTTCTAGAACCCACTTCAGCACTACTGAAGAAACAGACACGAAGACCAAAACCTACAACAGTAGGTGATCTATATTAGACTTGCTGCTCAACTAAAATACCTGAGAACGAGACCAGAAGCGCAGTTACTAGCACCTGGGTGGGAAGGCTGTCTGTAACACCATGTGGTCTCAGTATGGATTGTGTAAGCTTGTCATCCTCGGTCAGCTACAGTCCTAGTGCAGCAGAGTTGGTCAATGAAAGGCACCCATAACACAGATGTCATGTTCTGCTGATGGCAGTTCTCCTAACTCAAGATTTCAGACCATGAACAGGCACTGCCACTAGGCAAGCAATGGGTAAATATGATGTGTTACCTCTGTTGACATTTGCAAAGGGTCCTTCCACATCTATAGAACTATGGGCAAACTCGGGGCCTCTGAAAGACTGCTGAAGCTGGATCATACTCCCTATGGAAGGCTCACTTCCCAAGGCTCCGCCAGTCCAATATTCACACTGAGTTCCGGCAGCTGTTAAAGCAAGAGATTTTTATCTTGTGAAAACCAAACTACTGAATGTTCACATACTCATCACCTACACTGAACAGGATCTCCCATTTTAAAAAAATATCACAATACTGTAAATACAGTAAATATTCAAACAGTAATCTCGGAAGCACTCTGCCACCTACTTCTGGCAAAGTTCTAAAGTACTGGTTGACATAATCCTGTTTAACGTCTCAAATTCAAAGGCAGGGTTAAAAAGAGAATGATGAAAAGAACTGAGAATACAACAAGCAAAGGAATTACAGTAAGAGTGCAGTTAAAAACACCCCACTAAACAGTCTAAAAACTATTTCTAACCACACAGCTTAGGTATCCACTAAAATCTGAAGGAAAGAACTTCAAAGACAAACTGCTACCAGCACACTAGTGACTAATATTCGTAATCCATTAGCATGTAAGCTCTTTGCAGCAGGGAGTATGCCCTTCTTAACCTCCCAGAACAACAAAATTAGTCTCTGAATCAGTACCTGCTTATGAACATGTTGATGGCTTTCTGGTAAGTTATACTGGCCAGAATATCCAACGGCATCCTTGGCAAACTATAATAAACTGCTATTTGGGTAAAAGCTCTGGCAAAACTGAGCTTACTATTTGTGGCTCTTTGAATCTTATACGGGTAGCATTGCCTCAAGCATTCTTTCTTCATATTTAAATCAAAATAAGAAGAAAGACCTAGAAAGGAATGTAAGCGGGTGGTTTTTGTTAACTCCCCAAGATCATAACAATAGTTTTGAAACACTGCACATCTGAGCATGTCATCATTGAAATAATCACTAAGACAAACGTTTTCTCAGTCTTACTAAGAGTAACAACTAAGAAAGTATTTTCTCAGTTAGTCTTGGCCAGTAAGAATCCCTTCATTCTGTTCCTTAAGGTTAATAAATAATAAAAGTCTCAGGATGCTGGTCAGGTTCTAATGAAACTAAAATGAAAATGAAGAAGAAATGATCAGTTACCATATTTTACTCAAAATGCATCAGTTTATGAGAATATAATTAAAGTTGCTTAAAAGTAACTACACTTTCCCACTGTATTTAAAATAGGATCTTTTTCTTTTTTCAGTATCATTCACTTCATTAATATTTTCTTAGAACATGGTAAACCCTTTCATTCTGTGGCTTCAGGCTTTTTTATGTCAAGAAAAACATTTTATAGGTTTAATTATAAAACAAAAACCTGACTAGTTCATCACACAACTACACTGGAAATCATTCAGTGACATATAATGCAGGAACTCCAAATGATAACTGCAAAGAATCATCACTATGTGAGAAAATAATGTTGCAGAGACTACTAACTCCAATATCCATTCTTCCCTTTTCCTTTAGTAAGAGAATCCCACATTTTAGTTGGACATACGTCCTAGATGTAGTTCTGGCTGGTGGGATCTGAGCAGAAGTAATCTTTCAGGTGTGCCTTCCTGGGAAGGAATGCGATCTGCCTTTTTTCTTCCCCTTGGCTAAGACGCGGTTGTAATGGTGGGACACAGAGCTATCTTAGGCCAGAGAGAAAACCTACGGGTTAGGGTTGGCAAAGCAACAAGATAGGAGGAACTACAGTTTCTGAATCCATGCTCTTCAGGGAGAAGAGGTATTCTAAAAGCTGAGAGAAAGTGCAACTCTGTAACAGCAGTGAAAGCAATTATCTAGCTAATACAGATAAGCAAAAGGAATACATCAGATTCAAAATTGACTCTACAATATTATAAGAGATATACTGAAAGCTCAAATTATTATAATTATAAAATGACTTTACCAGTAACATCTGTACAGTTGTCATCCGAATCAGACTCCCCTGGATCAAACACCTGGATACCCTGAGCCTGTAGCCTCTGAAGTTTGCTCTCCAGTTCTCGCTTGGCCCTCAGCAAGTCCTGAATTTCATTTTCTTTGGTCTCTCTGAAAATCTTTGAAGAAATAATTTTAACGTTTCATAAACTTTTTCACAATCAAGCAGTTGCAGCATCAAGTTTTAAGGAAAACATATTTCATTCACAAAATCAATAGTCACTTGGTCCTTAATCTCCTCTTTTGTGGGATGAATATCCCAAAACCTTTACCTTGCTGCTTCATAACTGGAAGCCACTGGAATGCTGGCAGGATATGTGTCTGCAGTGCGAGCCTGCCATGTGCACTGCATGACGCTTTCAACTGGCCTCTCTCTCACTAACCGCAGTCGCGTCCTCCTGCACACCACACCCCCAACATTTTCCAATGCTCTTCCATGTGAACACATTTTCCTTTTTTTCAAAATTCCCTATTGAAAGGTTCACTTTAGGGTACCTAACCCTGAGTTGTACCCCACATCTTTAAAGTAAGAAAATTTAAAAAATAAATAAACGAAAAATAAGATGTTCACTTTGTACCTTTTCTTTGGATTATCTCAAGTTTACCATATCCAACTCAAGAATGTAAAGTGGTCTACTCAAATTCTTAAAACTTTCATGAGTCCTACATAATTCTACCTATAGTGCAATATCATACAGACTTTCTTTAAACTGTATTTTATTATAAAGATGGGGGGTACAACTTAGTATCAGGAACTAATTACTAATACTAACACCGCCGGCAGCATTAGTATCAGGTACATAAGGAATCTACGTGCAGGTGACGTCTGGGCCTCCAACGGGTCCTCACCTCCCCTGGTTTAGGACTAGGTACCCTTTGTGTTGCTATAGAAGCTTTTAAAATACGCTGTTTTTATCCCATGTCACTTTGGGAGTAAAAATGTAAGGCATCTACCTTGAACTGCCTTTTGACTTTGTCTCTGTCATGTTCAAATGTCGCTGCTCTCTCCATCGCTTGGTATTTTGCTTCTAAAGCACTTTCTTTTTCCCGGAGTATCTTCTGATATGTTTTTTGAAGTGCCTGGAACAAGTTACCTTGTTATTTCCTAACAAATGAGAGTCTTGCCACCAAATTTTACATTCATACAAATCTAACAGTCTACTTACTACCTGCCCAATGATCAGGAACTGCAAGTTGTCATTTTAGTCAAACATACCATGGGGAAAATTCAAGCATGCTTGAAGTATAGCAAATCAAGACACTTCAGCACTAGCTTTCAATGAAAATACCGCACCAGCTCTTAAACATCACTATGCCTCAGTCTTTCCATCTTTAAGGGAATAAAAAGTACAATTTATAAGGCTTAACTTGAACGTTAATCAATTCGAGGAGACCGTAAGCTCCTACCATGCTATTCACCTTACAGTGCCCTAAGCCCCTCACAGCCCCGGATACACCGCAGGCCTCAAGTACACGTCCACCTGAACGAATGAAATAAATGTGGAAGAACTTTTTCACGCCTACGTATGGGAGAAAGGAAGCCACATGTCTCCTAAGGCATCAGGACTGGCGACAGGCGGGACCTGGGACTGTGACGTCTACCAGCCCTTACCGCCCTGGGGCCTGCTTGGCGCGGCCTTCTTTTTGATCTGCCGTGGCACAGCTGCTTCCTGGGTGCAGTGTCTCCGGGGCAACGGCTTGGACACATAAAGTCGGATATTGAAATGCTCTAGTCCATTTTACACGGGCAAGTGCATTAACGGTTGCCCTGCAGGAAAACCGGAAGGTCGCCAGACAGACCGCGGACACCAGGGTCTTCCCAGACAACAGTGCTAATTACACAACAGCTAATGAGGGGACTGGGGGGAAAAAGCCTTGCCTCGATGCCTAGTCTAGAAAACAGGAGGCCTCTTTCCTCTAGAAAAATCAGCCAGGTATTTATTCCATCCCCACCGTGACGAGCCCAGGAGGCCTGGAACTGCCCAGTCTCTCTCCTAGGAAAAAGTAAGCGAGTGACCCAAAACACAGCAACCGTCAGAGGCGCCAACCGAGGACAGTCTCCGAACTCTGCTTACAGAGAAGCTGCACGCGCCATCTTAATGGGCTGAAACGCAGCTACCACACGAGGGCCCGGCTCCCACTGCTCTCACAGGAGACGCCCCCAAGGCGCCGCCGGCAGCTTTTCGGGCGCCGCGGTCCGGAGAGGTCGGAGGCTGCCGCAAGAGGCGCGTCAAGGTCCCCGAAGCCCGAGAGCGCGGGCCTGCCCACGGGGCGCAAGCCCCCGCGGGGGAATGCCCTGCCGC